TGAAACTTAACATGCATCGTTTTGGTTAGACTTGTGTTCCAAAAATGCTGAAACAATGAGTAATACTAACAGAACAAACTAAAACCCAACACTCGCCTCTAAGTTATGCGATTTGCTTCCATTTCGGGAATTGGGTGCAATCAAGGAGAACCTAGTAATGATCAACAATTGGAGCATTCATGACACAAGATCACAGTGAAAAGACGAGAGACAAGACTCTTGTCTTGACTTTGATTGGGGTAATATGAATACTACTTAGACACAAGAACAGAGGAAAGCTGGAAAATTAAGAATACTCAAATGTGACAGCATGCTTTCAAGACAAGAAGAATCGGGAAATTTTTATATCAACACTTGAAGTCATTAGAAAAGAATTGGCTAGGAGATTAAGGTTTTAAATGAACAAATCAAAAAACTTTTGATTTATTTTCTAAACCTTGAACATCTTTATAAAAATCTTAGAGCAAACAAACAAAAAAATCGCGGGATGAGTCAGATTCTGATTGATTCATCAGTATCCAGGGCAGGAATATTGAGATCGAATAGGTTGCGCATTTCAGCTACTTGGTTTCCAATGGAATGTGATCTCTTGTGACCACCTAATGCTTGTCCTGATTTAAACACCCTGAAGCAAAATGGACACTCGTGACTTTTGCTTTTCTTCTTTGTACTACTTGCTTTCTTATCCATTGGCGATTTGTTATCACTTGACCTATGAATCTTGCTGTTTGTGTCTGCATAAGAATCAGTTTCATGAGAAGGAAAGACCCTTTTGCTTTTGCTCATCAGCTCATACTTTGATCCTCCCTCCTTGACCCCACTTTTCCTGAACCTGTTGAATCCAGTGTTCTTAAGAGACACGTCAACGGAAATGTCTGATTCCGACTTCTTTGGCCCATTCATGAAGTAATCAGAATCAGAACCATCTGAATCACAGGTAGTAACACCATTATCATCATCAACAGATCTCAATTGGTCATCAAGTGCAACTTTATCAGCCTGATTCTTCACATTGAACATCTTTAGCTGCTCTCCTGAAGATGGTTTGGTCTCCACGATCACAGAGTTGTTGTCTGATGACTCAGCCAGAGAGTTCACCACCAAGTCATGTCCTTTCTTGAAACTAGATTCTCTCGACATAATCACCAGAGACAAAGCCCCGTCCTTATCTTCTTGGTCAATCTCAGAAGCAGTAGACGAGCTCCCATTAGTAAAAGACTCTGAATTGGATCGTTTCATGACCTTGTTGGATCTTTTCCTGGTAGGAGACGATGAAGTCTCAGTATCAAATTGGTTATACATCGACATCACAATCTTCTTCTCTCTTTCACTGTGACAATCCATGTGAGAATGGAACCCTTTACCACATTCTCTGCAACAAAGTTGTTTTTTCTCTCTCTGATCTACCAACCTCTTGTTATTTTTGGCATTGTAGCTATGGGAAGCAACTGAATACTCGTTCGAATGGGTTCTGATGTGACCACCGAGTGATTTCCCAGAAGGGAACTCCTTGTTACAGAACTTGCACACGTACTTGTTCTCTTTGCTCTTGTCCATTCTGATTGTGATCTTCTCTTAGGCAAATGATCAAACACAAAACAAGCAGAATCAAGAAAAAGGGTTACGAAAGTGAGAGAGGAAGATGATACAGCATGAACCCGTTTCGAGTTACCTCCTCAAAAAATCCCAAGCAATGACAAAACTGAAATTCCCAAATGCTACAC